CAAATCGAATATTTCAAAGAAATATTTGGAATGTTCAAATGAAATATTTCCGGAACGTAAAAGGAATATTTTAAAGGAATATCCCCAAGGAATGTTCCGAATATTCCAATGGAATATTGTATAAGAATATATTGAGAATTCCAATGGAATATTCACGGAACGTGAACGGAATATTCCACAGGAGTATTCAAAATATTCCATAGGAGTATTCAAAATATTCCAATGAAATATTCTCGGAAAACGTGAATGGTATTTTTCAAAATAAGATTCCGATTGTTCTATAATGGAATATTCCAATTGTTCCAGTGAAATATTCCGATTGTTCCAATGGAATATTCCAAATGTTCCATTGGAATATTATTCTTAGAATGTGAATTTAATTTTTGATAAATAAATTTTTGGATCCCCGCCAGAAAATATTTGAAACTGATGACTATAATTATATAAAACATAATTGTCGAAATGAATGTGTCAATTATGCCAGACATATACTTTCGCATAATTGAAAACGTAATTAATTTGGAAATCAAGTAACGGATTGAAAATGTTGCATTATCTGGTCGACATGGGGTTATCTAATCAAGTCAATTAGGAGAGCTGAAATAGATGTCGAAGGCGGATGTGTCGTAATCTAAATAAACAAAAGGAGACAAATTCACTCTCGCGCACACACATATATGTATATATATATATATATACATATAAAAAAGTTGAGAGAATAATTAATTCAATAATTAAGAAAATGTATTTAAGAAAAATTAGTTCAACTAAAGGAAATGAATTGTTAATCGCTTTTAATGAATTTTCATGCGATTAAATTGTTTCTTGGAAACAAATGAAGAAAATGACAATGTTGCGGAAAATAGTGATAATGACTGAAAAATAGTGTTTATATAGTACAAAAAAAAGTTTCTTTTTTACTACAAAAAATTATTTATAGTAAAAAAATTTATTTTCGGTACTACAAAAAATGATTTGTAGTACTAAAGTTATTTTTAGTACTATAAAAAAATTATTTTTAGTACTACAAAAAAAATAACTTTTTTACTACAAATAATTTTTTTTGTATAGTACTAAAAATAACTTTTTGTAGTATAAATTTTTTTTTCATTTTTGCATTTTGATAGATAAAAACTGTAAATTTTATTCATTTTCCCCAAAAAAAAAAAAAAATATGTCGGTATTACATATCTTGGATAAAAGGGAAGGGGAAAAAAATGAACTACCACGACTAGACCGAATGGATGCTAAGCAAGCTGTAGTACTTGATCGCTTCCGCGCATACGAAACAGTTTCGCACACCGGAAGTACGTCAGATTCCTCTTGAGGTACCCGACAACGCGTTGTCGGCCCACGTTACCTTACCTGGGAAACAACCAAGTCAGCGCGACGTGACTTTGAACCACATCTGTGCCAATAATCATCGTCAATTTAAATTCGTCATTGAAATTCGTTACTGATCAACGTCCAGGCAATATTTTTTTTATATATATATATATTTATATGCATTGCCTAATTTCACTTCCGCATACCTTATTCTTAATTTAATTGCCCCCACAACATTAAGAAAAAACGAATTTAAAATAACTGATTAACTAAAATAATTAAAATAACTAATGAACTAACTGAAATAATTAAGGTTTTAATTAGAAAAGGTTTTAGTTAGAAAAGGTTTTAGTTAAAAAAGGTTTTAGTAGAAATGGTTTTAGTTAGAAAAGGTTTTATAGTAGAAATGGTTTTAGTTAGAAAAGGTTTTAGTAGGCAAGGGTTTAGAAGTAAAGGTTTTAGTAATAAAGATTGTAGTACGCAAGGTTTTAGTAAAAAAGGTTTTAGTTAAAAAAGCTTATAGTAGAAAAGGTTTTAGTAATAAAGATTGTAGTACGCAAGGTTTTAGTAAAAAAAGGTTTTAGTTAAAAAAGCTTATAGTAGAAAAGGTTTTAGTTAGAAAAGGTTTTAGTTAGGAAAAGTTTTAGTTAAAAAGGTATTAGTAATACTTTTCTACTACAACCTTGCGTACTAAAACCTGTATTACTAAAACCTTTTCTACTACAACCTTGCATATACTAACATCTTTATTATTATAACATTTTCTAACTAAAACCCTTTTTAGTAAAACCTAATCAGCAAGGTTTTAATTAGAAGGGTTTTAGTAGAAAAGGTTTTAGTTAAGAATATAATTTAGTAGAAATGCTTTTAGTAGGAAAGGTTTTAGTTAAAAAGGTGCTTCTTTTTTTATTTAAAAAAAAAAACGTTTTAAAACGGAAAAAATTTATTTTTGAATCTTTGAGAGTAATGAAAGATAGAATTATATACTAATTACCGCAACTCATGACACTTATTCTCAAGTTGTCCTTCTTGTGTCTTTTTTTTATCTCTTTTTTTCTTTTTCTCTCTCTTTCTCCTTTTCTCTCTCTCTCTCCCCTACTCTTATAGTCCGATTTCTAATCTTCAGCGGCAAAAGATTGATTTATCAATATGGACCTTTCACCGGTCGAGTTATGACACGCGATTCTATAAAGTCAAGCAAGAAAAAAGCCTGAGGCGACAGTCGCGGGTCATTTGAACGCTAATTTATTAGAATGTTTATGTGTTACTCGCCGCTCGTTATCTTTAACATACGGCTAAAGCGCGCTAAAGTTCGTCAAAGTGCTGATTGCGACGCAATCCCCTCGCACGTAACTATTATATATATGTATATATACGAAAAATTGCTTTTATATACAACAAATAACACTACATATATATATAAAGAAAATTACTATGTTTACTTCTATTTTCCAGTAAATAAAATTTATTTAAAACTTAAAACTAAATAGAAATTGTGACGAGAATAATTATTATTGTCACCTTTCAAGTAATGAAAATAATTGTCACCAATTTGCAAGAAAAAACTACGTTTTTGTAATAAAAGCAAGAAAAAGTAAAAGAGGAATCGATTTTTTTTTTTACTAAAAACCTTTTTAACTAATGGTTATTTGTTTTTAACCTAAACTTTTTTTACTAAAACCTTTTTTTTACTAAATTACTAATTTTTTTACTGAAACTTTTTTTAATAAAATCTTTTCTACTAAAACCTTTTTTAACAATGCTAATTTTTATTTGCTGAAACCTTTTCTATTAAAACCTTTTTAACGAAAACCTTTTCTACTAAAACCTTGCGTACTAAAACCTTTTCTAACTATAAAACCTTTTCTACTAAAACCTTTCTTAACTAAAACCTTGCGTACTACAATCTTTATTACTAAAACCTTTTCTATATACTAAATCCTTTTTTAACTAAAACCTTTTCTACTAAAACCTTGCGTACTAAAACCTTTTCTAACTAAAACCTTTTCTACTATATGCTTTTTTAACTAAAACCTTTTCTACTAAAACCTTTCTTAACTAAAATCTTTCGTACTAAAATCTTTATTACTAAAACCTTTTCTAACTAATACCTTTTCTACTAAAAGCTTTTCTATATACTGAATCCTTTTTTAACTAAAACCTTTTCTACTAAAACCTTGCGTACTAAAACCTTGCGTACTAAAACCTTTTCTAACTAAAACCTTTTCTACTATATGCTTTTTTAACTAAAACCTTTTCTACTAAAACCTTTCTTATCTAAAATCTTTCGTACTAAAATCTTTATTACTAAAACCTTTTCTAACTAATACCTTTTCTACTATAAGCTTTTCTATATACTAAATCCTTTTTTAACTAAAACCTTTTCTACTAAAACCTTGCGTACTAAAACCTTGCGTACTAAAACCTTTTCTAACTAAAACCTTTTCTACTATATGCTTTTTTAACTAAAACCTTTTCTACTAAAACCTTTCTTAACTAAAATCTTTCGTACTAAAATCTTTATTACTAAAACCTTTTCTAACTAATACCTTTTCTACTATAAGCTTTTCTATATACTAAATCCTTTTTTAACTAAAACCTTTTCTACTAAAACCTTGCGTACTAAAACCTTTTCTAACTAAAACCTTTTCTACTAAAACCTTTTTTAACTAAAACCTTTTCTACTAAAACCTTTATTACTAAAACCTTTTCTAACTAATATCTTTTCTACTATAAGCTTTTCTATATACTAAATCCTTTTTTAACTAAAGCCTTTTCTACTAAAACCTTGCGTACTAAAACCTTTATTACTAAAACAATTCTACTATAACCTTTTCTAGTAAAGCCTTTTTAACTGAAACCTTTTCTACTACAATCTTGCTTACTAAAACCTTTATTACTTAAACCTTTTCTATAACTAAAACCATTTCGACTGAAACTCTTGTTAGTAAAATCTTTCTGATTATAACCTTTTCTAACTAAAATCCTTCTTACTAAAATCTTGCGTACTAAAATTTTTTCTATTAAAACCTTTTCTACTAAAATCTTTTTATTAAAACCTTTTCTAATTCTATATTTTTTACTAAAAGAAATTGTGTTACTAATTAAATAATTTTTTCAAATCTTTTTGAAGAACCTAAGATTCAATCGTGCACCATTTTTTGAATCAATTAAAGCCAAAGGTGTTTGTATATTCCTCATATATACATATATACACGATATAAAAGTATAAAACGCTCAAGTTGAATGATTTATGAAGAATTAATTATTTCTTGGTGAGATAAACATTTCTCTCTCTCTCTTTCTCGGGTTCATTCGGGAGCCTCGTGATATCACTATGTGTACGATGCAATAAGGCATGAAAGCTTTCAATTATTTTAAAAATAATTTTCTCTCTTCAACTTCTCCTCTCTCTCTCTCTCTCTACATATATACTTCCATGAATATTTAATTTCTCTCTTTGCCGCGTACACTGCTGTCTCGGATTCATTATTTTTATATATATATTTGAAATTGCAAATGTGCATAAGAAAGCATGAAAACCGAGTGAGGTGAGTGTGTGAGAGATTTTTTTTTTTTTTTTTTTTTTGAAAAATGTATTATATCGTTGCGGATATATAACTTGAAATGTTACATTAATCATGTTTATATAGAAGGTGGATTTATTCACTTACCCACTGAAGGGATAACTCGCAAATGCTGCTTCATACGGATGCGGATAAACCGATGGATAAGGCCACGCCGCTGCACCAGCGCCTAGATTTTCTTTGAGATCCAATCCAGTAGCCTGGAACAAAAAAAAATAAAATAAACATTTTTTCTCAATTTTCAAATATTAAATTTCCCCTTTGTTCTTTCTTAATATTTCTTTTGATCTTTTTTTCTTTCCCTCTTAAATTAAATATTCACAAAAACAATATAAATATTTTCTCTTTTGATATTTTCGTATTTGATTTTCTCAAATTTTTTTCTTATATTTTTTTGCCTATAAAGAGGAGTTGATTATTATACTTTTAAAATAAATTTATAATAAAAATAAATTATTATTATTACTCCTGTATACAAGGTCAAAAATTGACTTCTTATTTTGATACTTACTAATTATATGTATTAAATTATTATTATTATTATTATTATTATTATTATTATTATTATTATTATTTTTGCCGCCCGTATAAGGGGGCAAAAAAGTAGTTTCTTATTTTTTTCCTTATTGGCTATATAATAAATTATTATTATTATTTTTTTTTTTGCCCTTGTAGAAAGGGGCAAAAAATTGGCTTCTCATTTTTTTGCTTATTAAAAAATTGTGATTTTAATTCAAATAAATTTCAGGGGAAAAAAAATAATTGCTCTCAAGTTTGATGGTTGACAAAAAAAAAAAAAAAAAAAAAAAAAACAACAACAAAAGCATATGGGACTTAAAAGAAATATGAAAAGAATATTGTCTTTCTTTATTTCGTGATCTTATAATATATATATATATATATATATATGTGAGTGCGTGCGCGGATAGTGGACTGTCGTAAATTCGATCGTTAACGATTCGATAACAAAAAAGCATCAGTGTATAGCCATGACAGTGTTCCACTGTAATATCCTCTTTTAAAACGACGGATTCATAATAAATGCCAAGCATATAATTTCTTCGTTCTCTTTGTGTGGTCCGATAACCTCATACGTATTTGAAACGACAGTCAACGCGTTTTTAACACTTTTATGATTATATTAAAATGATAACATCTTTATATATACATATATATTTATTTCATACAGAAAATTTTTATTTTCTCTGCTTTCAAAAAAATGTAATTAAAAAAATTCTAAAATTTATTATAAAAAATGATATACTTAAATAATAATAATAATAATAATAATAAAAATAATAAAAATAATAAAAATAATAATAATAATAATAATAATAATAATAATAATAATAATAATAATAATAATAATATAGTACTGATAAGAATAGTAAATAATAATATAGTAATCATTTTTTAATTTTACATATGTTACATAAAAAAAAAATGCAAAAAAAAAAATTGTAAGGAAAAAAGAAAAGTTTTATATATATACTTAACATTTGATAAATTCAGACAATTAATATTGAAATATTGAAATAATTTTGTATATAATAATTTATATAAACGTTAAATATTTGTCATATTTGCTCATGTTTTTTCGATTACACGAAATGACACGTGTTGATATTTGTGCGTGAGCAAAAAATAAATTCTTCATTTTTTTTTTTTTTCAAAAACATAATTCAAAACTTTATATATTTATTAATTTCGTCAATTATTTAACAAACTGATCAAAAAAAAAAAAAAAAAAAATTGTTTCATATTTTTATTATCCTTTATATGTTTGAGTAATAATTGCAAGAACGCGGAAGCGAAAAAATTTTTTTTTTTCACAAATATATAATTTTCATAAAATTTTGTTTATATTTATTATATTATTATTTATTTATAAAATATATATATATATATATATATATTGTTATTATTTATTCTATATATATTTTTTAAATTTATATTTTTAAATTCCAACTTATATAAATTATAAAAATAAATATAATTTTGATGTTGATAATTATTTATACTCATGTTCTGTACAATTCGTCATGAAAAACAGAAATCAAAAAAGCTTTTTTATGTTTTCTGTAAATTTTGTATCGTGTTCGGTTTTTTTTTATGATCAATAATAGACGGTCTTTTTTTTCTATTGTTTCGAACGAAAATTTAATTAGATGAATAAAATAGAATATATATATATATATATATATGCTAAAACAAAATTTCCACATTAAGAAAATAAATTATTCTTCGTTTATAATTAAATCGATATATTTATTTTTGTTAAGATTTATTTAAATTTGAGAATACTGAATTTTAGAAATATACTTTAATCCATTTTTTATGCTGGGATTTAAAAAAATTTATACCAATAAATAAATGGAAAATAATAAAAATTAATAATATTAATTATGATTATTATTATTATTATAAATAAATATAGAAAAGAATGAAAAATACTTACAGTGGGAGAGTAGAAGTGACCCTGTTCAGCTAATCCGGGGAAATAGGCAGCCATTCCTTCGGATGCTGCAGCAGCTGCGGCCGCGGCATAAGGCGCAGTATACATTGAAAGTGCCGTGGTAGGAAGAGCACCAAGTCTTTGGTAACCACCAAGAAGTTCATATTGACATGAGCAAACAGTATTTCCCGTCAATGGATCGGTATAAATTGGTCTACCAGTGTCACAGCATCTTCCACCTGCTGGACCACCACCACCACCAGCCGTCGGCGGCGGGTGGGGTTGAGATGGACTCACCGATGTCGTTGGACTTCCGGGTGGTCGTACTACTGCACTCGTCACAGCCATTCTTGAGGTTTGTAAACTAGGATTATTTAAAGGATGATTAACACCAATTCCACTTCCTAACGAAGATGCACTACTAACGCTTAATATTGGCGCCGATGCCGGCGATGGCGATGACGCTAACGATGACGTACTCACTGTCACAGGACACTGTAACAAAAACAAAGAAAAATCGGAAAAATTATTATAAAACTTCATTTTTTTACCATTTTTTCAGAAAGAATTAATTTTTTTTACACTAAAACATTTTTTTAAAATATTTAAATTTATTTTCTATTTTTTTGACGAATTTTTATTTTTTTTTTTTTTGATAATTTTACTAATCTAGTTTCTAGCCAGTTTAACTATAATAAAACTATCTAGTTTCTAGATAGTTTAACTATAATAAAACTATCTAGTTTCTAGACAGTTTAACTATAAGAAAACTATCTAGGTTTTGTGGAATTGTCAGAATAGTTATGTTGTCTAGTTTCTGAATACTAGAACTATATGGAAACTATCTAGGGCAACTAGATTATTAAAATAGTCATACTATCCAGTTTCTAGATAGTTAACCTATGTGGAAAGTATCTAGTGCTATCTAGCATTAGGACAGTTATACTCTCTAGTTTCTACATACTTCAACTGTATGGAAACTATCCAGTATCAGGACAGTTATACTATATTTAGTTTTTAGACATTTGAACAGTTTGGAAACTATCTAGTGCAACTAGATTATTTAAACAGTAATACTATCTAGTTTCTAGATAGTTAAACTATGTGGAAACTATCTAGTGGTAACTATCGAGTATCAGGACAGTTATACTGATTAGTTTCTAGATAATTTAACTATGAGGAAACTATTTGGCCTGCCTAGTTTTTTAGAATTAGAAGAATAGTAATGCCGTATAGTTTATAGAAACTTAAACTATATGGAATCTATATACAGCGCTAACTATCTAGCATCAGAACAGTTATACTATCTAGTTTCTAGATTCTCGAACTGGGTGGAAAGTATTTACTGCTATCTAGTATTAACATAGTTATACTATCCAGTTTCTTGATAGATTAACTATAAGAAAACTATCTAGGTTCTGTAGAATTGTCATTACAGTTATACTTTCTAGTTTCTAAATACTTGAACTGTAGAGAAACTGTCTAGTAGCAGGACAGTTATATTATCTAGTTTTTAGATACTTTTAGTATATAGAAACAATTTAAGGCTAACTATCTACTATCAGGAGTGTCATACTATCTAGTTTCTAGATAGTTAAACTATGTGGAAAGTATCTAGTGCTATCTAGCATTAGGACAGTTATACTCTCTAGTTTCTAGATACTTGAACTGTTTGGAAACTATCTAGTGCAACTAGATTATTTAAACAGTAATGCTGTATAGTTTATAGAAACTTAAACTATATGGAATCTATACAGCGCTAACTATCTAGCATCAGAACAGTTATACTCTCTAGTTTCTAGATATCCGAACTGTGTGGAAAGTTTCTACTGCTATCTAGTATTAGGACAGTTGTACTATCTAGTTTATAGTAAGTTTAACGATAAAAAAACTTTCGTAAAATTGTCGCAGAATAGTTATGCTATCTAGTTTCTGAATACTAGAATTGTATGGAAACTATCTAGTGCTAACTATCTAGCATCAGGACAGTTATACTATCTAGTTTCTAAATAACTGTATAGAAACTTTCTAGTATTAAGATAGTTATACAATTCAGTTTCTTGATAGTTTAACTATAAGAAAACTATCTAGGTTCTGTAGAATTCTCAGGACAGTTATACTATTTAGTTTCTATGTACTTGAACTGTAGAGAAACTATCTAGTAGCAGGACAGTTATATTATCTAGTTTTTAGATACTTTGAGTATATAGAAACTATTTAAGGCTAACTATCTACTATCAGGACAGTCATACTATCTAGTTTCTAGATAGTTAAACTATGTGCAAACTATCTGCTGCTAACTATCTAGTATTAAGACAGTTATTCTATCTGGTTTTTAGATAATTTAACTATAAGAAAACTATCCAGTTTTTTTAGAATTGTCTGAATAGTTGTGCTATCCAGTTTCTAGACAGTCAACTATATAGAAACTGTTTACAGCACTTTTTTCCTGCTCGCAAATTGGTAATTTGACGACATTGTTTTTTAAAAAAAATTATCAATTCTTTAATGTGTATTGTGTAAATATGATAGGGCTCTTTTTTGCAACTTTTATTACCACCCACTGACGTCAATCTCGTCGTTAAAACTCAGCACCTTACATCGTGTAACTGATGGCAATGCGAGCCGACTGCATGCTTCCCTGTTTATATATATACACTCAAATATATATATATATGTGTGTGTGGGTTAAAATTCGTCGATCCCTTCGCTTCGCACGTCCTGCGACAGTTGGTTCTCGAATTCGCAGCAACGACACGCATTAACGCGGTACCACAATGTACACACACACACACATACATGCAAGAGCTGTCACATCATTTTACACACCAATACAAAATTCAAGAACGACAATATGTTTGGGTCTTCCATATATAGCTTTGGCTATGGGTTTGTTTAAGGCCTGAAAGGCAAGCGAAAGGCACTCAAGCCGCTAATCTATTTAGCCGTAGTGTTTGATATGGAATTAATGAGGCTATAGGTATTATGTCCAACGCTTTGGATATGGGGGTTTACTTTCTGAGAAATAATGCCGCTGATATTCAGTTGCTACTAGAAATGTCCCTGATCCACATTTGGAGAGGGGTATAAAAATCCTTCTTTAGAAACAGCTGCCTCTTCAAAAAAAAAAAAAAAAAAAAAAAAAAGTTCCTCTCTTTGCTCAGATTTATACAGTAATATTAACAAGTCATAATATTATTTCATATTATCAACACTTGTATATATATGTATATATATATATGTAAAACTGGATCAGTTTTTGAACAAGGTTTTGTACTTGATGTATAGTCACTAGAGTGATTTAATTCTTTAAACATTTAAATTTTTCGGGTTCGTTTTCGTTTGGACCGTTTAGTGTTATATAAATAAATTTTGCATAGTTATAGTATTTAGTAAACAAAAAATTAAAAGGCATTTAAATAAGCTGCAACGCTTATTGTTTTAATTCAATTTTGCTTATTTTAATAGTATTATTAGTATTTAATGTATTTAGTAGTATTCGTTAGTATTTAGTAGCATTCAGTATAGTATTTAATAGTATTTAGTATTCGGTAATATTTAGTATAGTATTCAATACTATTAGTAGTATTTAATGTATTTAGTAGCATTTAGTATAGTATTTAATAGTATTTAGTATAGTATTTAATGTATTTAGTAGTGTTCAATAGTATTTAGTAGCATTCAGTATAGTATTAAATAGTATTTAGTAGTATTCGGTAGTATTTAGTAGCATTCAGTATAGTATTCAATAATATTAGAAGTATTTAATAGTATTAGTAGTATTTAATGTATTTAGTAATATTTAGTAGCATTTAGTATAGTATTCAATAGTATTAGTAGTATTTAATGTATTTAGTAGTATTCGTTAGTATTTAGTAGCATTCACTATAGTATTTAATAGTATTTAGTATTCGGTAATATTTAGTATAGTATTCAATAGTATTAGTAGTATTTAATGTATTTAGTAGCATTTAGTATAGTATTTAGTAGTATTTAGTAGTATTTAGTAGTATTTAATGTATTTAGTAGTGTTCAATAGTATTTAGTAGCATTCAGTATAGTATTAAATAGTATTTAGTAGCATTCAGTATAGTATTTAATAGTATTTAGTAGTATTCGGTAGTATTTAGTAGTATTGAGTATAGTATTCAATAGTATTAGCAGTATTTAATGTATTTAGAAGTATTCAGTATAGTATTTAGTAGTATTCGGTTGTATTTAGTAGTATTTAGTATATTATTCAATAGTATTAGCAGTATTTAATATATTTAGTAGTATTCGGTAGTATTTAGTAGCATTCAGTATAGTATTTAATAGTATTTAGTATTCGGTAGTATTTAGTAGCATTTAGTGTAGTATTCAAAAGTATTTGTAGTATTTAATGTATTTAGTATAGTATTTAGTAGTATTTAGTAGTATTTAGTAGTATTTAATGTATTTAGTATAGCATTTAATATATTTAGTAGTATTCGGTAGTATTTAGTAGCATTTAGTATAGTACTTAGTATATGATTAAAGTGCAATTTACTAAAAAAAATTTAGAGTCTACTGGCACAGTACTGGTACCAGTGCCACTGTGATCCCATTTCTATAAATTTTCTTTAATGTTTAATATAAATCCTAATATTAAACGCAGAGAAAAATTTAATTATAATTTTCGGAACTAATGGCTAAAAAATACTATAAAATAAAATAATAAATAAAAGAATAAAAAAAAAAACCCACATATTGGTAAATTATAGTCAACTTTGCAAAAGGTAGTTTTAACAACATCTTAATAAATTTTTCAAAAAACAATTCGCCTCTAAATACACATATATATATATATATATATGTATATTTAGTCTCAATCATTATTGTTAGTGCAAAAACCTAATTTATCTGATATCGTAATGGACATTTCCAATTCTCCACACTCTAATGACTGTATATACTTAGAGTATAATTATAGATTAGAACAATATATAAAATTACCGCACCAATATATAAAATTTAATTATTTCAAACTCATTATCAAAAAAATATTATCCGTTTGACCTGCATTTCTTTTTTCTTTCAAAAAAAAAAAAAAAAAAAAAAAAAAACTCGTGTTTTAATTAAAAAAAAGAGAATAAAAAAACGGTTTACAAGCAGATGTAAAAAAGTATGTGATAAATGCACTTTATGGAGTGAAAGCAAGGTTTAAACACTGAATTTTAAAATAATGTTTTTTGTATATATATCTGATTCGCACTTATTAATCCATATTACACCTCTCCCGACATTATATGTATAAAATACACATTGCGTGTTAATTTCTTTTTTTTTCTTGTATGGCGCACTCTTTGCATTTATAATAATGCAAAAGTCCATTAACATTCTTATAATATGCATATAATGCGCGCACTCTTTAATTGCCCTATTGCAAATATTCTCTGGCAATATATATATATATAGTATATATATATTTATTTGGGGCAATGATATGCTTTGCACGTTATGTAAATAGTTGTTTC